AATTGTGCTTCAGCCCTTAACAACAAGCTTTGGGTTTTCTGGAATGGGGATAGATTCAAACTATTATTCTTTCAAGAGTTTGGTCAAATGTACACCTGTCACTTCTGGGATAATAACCTCAGCACCAAGTGTAGCATCACCTCAATTTATGGCAAACACACTGGAAGTCAGAGAAAGGAACTATGGAAGGACATCTCTGATAATGTTATCAGTGATCACCTTTGGATTGTAGGGGGTGACTTTAACACTATTTGCTCCCTTGAGGAGCACCAAGGCCTAACCACCCCCACCCTGGCAGACATTACAGACTTCAAAGACTGCATTGAAGCCATCCCACTCATTTGCCCAACCTTTGAAGGAGGTATCTTCACCTGGAGTGGGGTGAGGAGTAGGGGAAGAATTTGGAGAAGATTAGACAGGGCTTTGGTTAACCCTCTCACTATGAACCATTTCCCTGAACTTAACATGAAACATCTGAGCAAAACCTCCTCCGACCATAAGCCTATTTTGCTGCAATGCCAACTAGAGGACTTCAAAGGAGCAAAACCATTCCGATGCCAAGACTTCTGGTTCTCCCACATCAACTTCCTCAAGGTAGTCAAAGTTAACTGGACCCAGCAGCCCATGATAGGAGGAATGAGGGGACTGGTTATTAAACTCAAAGGGCTCAAGGCTACACTTAAAAACTGGAGCAGGGAACCATTTGGTGACATCTTTGAAGCTGTAAAGGAAGCAGAATGTAAAGCAATGAAGGCACAAGAAGAGTATGAACATAATCCAGTTGATATCTTGAGATCCATAGCCAACAAAGCTCAAGCTGATCTAATTGTAGCCACTAACAGAGAAACCCTCTTTTGGAAACAGAAAGCTAATATTAAATGGATGGAATTAGGGGATCAGAATTCTTCCTTTTTCCACTCTTATGTCAAGAGCAGAAGAAGCAACCTCAAGATCAGAAGCATTACAGATGGCAATGGAAGGAAAAAAATGGAGGTAGAGGAGATTCGAAAGGCAGCAGAGGATTACTTTAAACAGGTGTTCAGCACTCACAAAGAAGTTCATGCTCATCACATCCTGGAATATATCCCCAACCTCATCACCCCAGAGGACAATTTCATGATGGGCAGAATTCCAGAT